GCCAACCAGACCCTGGGGAAGATGCCGCAGCCGCCGCTGGAGCTGCAGGTGGCGACCATCCTGCTGGTGCTGCTCATCTGCGGCGTGGGCATCGCGGGCAACGTGATGGTGGTGCTGGTGGTGCTGCGCACCAAGCACATGGTGACCCCCACCAACTGCTACCTGGTGAGCCTGGCCGTGGCCGACCTGATCGTGCTGCTGGCGGCCGGGCTGCCCAACATCTCCGAGGTGGTGGCGTCCTGGGTGTACGGCTACGCGGGCTGCTTGTGCATCACCTACCTGCAGTACCTGGGCATCAACATCTCGGCCTGCTCCATCACCGCCTTCACGGTGGAGCGCTACATCGCCATCTGCCACTCCATCAAAGCCCAGCTGCTGTGCACCGTGTCCCGGGCCAAGCGCATCATCGCGGGCGTGTGGCTCTTCACCTCGCTCTACTGCCTCATGTGGTTCTTCCTGGTGGACACGTCGCAGGTCACCTTCGCGGACGGGGCGCAGGTCAGCTGCGGCTACCGCGTCTCCAGGACCCTCTACCTGCCCATCTACTTTCTAGACTTCGCCCTCTTCTATGTCATCCCGCTGGGGGTGGCCACCGTGCTGTACGGCCTCATCGCCCGCATCCTCTTCAGCAACCCGCTGCCCGCCACCCCGCAGCACGCCCGCCCGGGCTCGGGGCACCAGGGCCAGCCCTCCAGCTCCATGAAGCTGTCCTGCCGGGGCAACAAGGGCGCGCTGAGCTCCAGGAGGCAGGTACGGCCCGGGACGGGGCGGGGATCGCTGCTTCCCCGGGGCCCTTGATCGCGGGGCAAGAAGGTCTTGCGGCTCCGGCTGGGAGCCCTGCGGGGGGAGCAGGGTGCAAAGCAGCTGCCCCCTGCAAAGCTCCCCGCTCCCAGCCCGGGTGCGCGGGGCCCCCTCTCCCGGCCCAGGAGGGGACCCCGGATCCAGCCCGGGGGCTGCTGGTTCATTGCCTCGCTCCATCCCCAGCCCCACGGTGCACCGGATCGGAGCCGGTCCAAAGCGCTTGTCATAGGGCACCCGCCCCTGGGTGGGGCTCGGCGCCCCGAGGGGCTGGGATCGCTGCCGGGTAATTGCTAATTACTGCGCGACTGCTAATGAGCGCCGCTGTCCGCAGCCGGCTGGTGCTGAGCAAGCCTCTGCCGCCGAGCCGAGCCGAGCCGAGCCGCTGGGAGCGGAGGGACCGGGCCGCCCCGGTGCAGTCAACCCGCCTTCCTCCTCCTTCCCTCCGGGGGCACGAGCCCCGCTCCGGGCTCCGTAGCAGCTCGTCCTCCGCAGGGAGAGATGTCCCCCCTCCTGTCTGTGCCCGAGCCCCTGTGGGCAGGGCTGGTGTCCTCTCTCCTTTCAGACCTCCCCGCTGGTCAGATCCGATCTCTTTACTGCACAGTAACGCCTCGAAGAGCCCTTTCCTTCGGGGATCAGTCACAGGAGCTGGGGTTTCCCTTTCCAACACCCAGTGAGCTGCCAGGTCCAGCTTTGTAGGTCTACTTTCCAATTTGGGTTTAACTGGCTTTGTCAAACCCAGAAGCAGATCTTGCCACTGGGAAGCTGCTGCCACTTTTTTTGTGACTTCACTCTTTTGTGCTTGCAGGCAAGCGGGCCCCATCCTCAGCCAGTCTTACACTGAGCTCCTCCTTTTTACACCAGCGGTTTTACTTGTCATACCAGATTAGCTAACCTGCCCCTGGCTGCCAGGCAGGACTGTACTGCAAAAGGTACTAAATGAATCTAAGCAGGAGTTTGTGACACCCAACAAACAGATGATGGTGAAATGCCAGCTGAATCCAGCAAAGTCCTGTAGTCTGATTTCTTATGCTGTGTACTCACCTTTCTGCTTAACTCTTGGCCTTTCCCCTTCCCCTAGAATGACTTAGATCACATACTTCTAAAGGAACAGCAGCATTTGAAATAAATGAAAATAAAAGACTTTAGAAGCGTAAGCTGTAACTGAGGTCTCCTTGGAAAGCTTGCAGCTGTAACTGGCAGGCTGGCACTCAGGAGTTAGGTGGAAGACTAGCATTTTCGAGGCCAAATCTATCCCAGTACAACTCCATTGACTTCTCTGAAAGAATCCTATGTGCTTAAAGCCAGGCTAAATTTGGCCCATAGAGTTTGTAAACACTGTAGCTTGATACTGCTAATTGTGTGAAGCTGGTTGGAAAACAAGATATTTTTTGCACTTTGTGGGATGTGGGAGGAAGCATCTGCCTTTTTTTACAGCACCAGATTTCAAAATGTGGAATTCTTCAGCCATCTCAATTGCTGAATGTGTGGTGAGTTAAAGGTATACAACTCTGAGTGCAGGCACGGAGGGTTGCTTTTATCTGCAATATTTCCATTCACTTCAGCTGTAACTATTTGCTTTCCCAAGACCTGTTGATACCCCTCTTGCATCCAAGGCACAGTGTTCCTCAACACTGGAAACACACTAGCATGCTGCTTGCTGTCTTTCCTCCTAATGAGGCCTTTATAATATTTTAAAGCTTCTCCTTTTGTCTTGTTTCTTATGGCCTTTCTGGTTTGTTGTCACATGAGGGTCATTGGCTGAGACCTGAGATGGTTATACTCTCTTTTAATGAGCTTTTCACCTGTTGATTTCAAAGTATCTTATAAAGATGAACTGGTGTCACATGACAAAGGTGCTTTATTATACAAATGAGAAAACAGAGGCACAGGAGGGTGGAGTGAGATGCACAGGGCCACAAAGCAAGTCAGTGGCAGAAGTGTGCACATCTCTTGCTTCCTAGCCCTGTCTGCCGGACTTCATTGCCCCTTTCTGTATCCACTGAATTAGGCAGACTCTACCGAATCATGCAGTTTGCTTAGGACTTCTCTGACAGGGAAAATGGATTATTGCGGAAATTAAATGTTAGTATTGTCAGTCTCTCTCTTGAGAGGCATGGGAGACAGGGAGCAAAAAGACATCTTTCAAGTGCATCCTGAGCTCCACCAGCATAACTGACAACCGGTGTCTCCTTTCAGGTTGACAGAATGGTGTAAAGATCACTTAAAGAGCTTTTTCCTCATATCCTTTTCCTGGCAAGCAGCTGCAGCAGCCCCACGAGGGGTCAGAGATCATTACACAGTTGCTGTTGTAGCTGCAACCTGACAAAACCCCAGTTGGGAAGGACCAAGTGGGGGAATGTCTGAGGCCTGCAGCCACTTAAAGGAACAATCAGAAGGTGGGAAATAAACTGTGGGGAATGAAAATGTGCACCCTTGATATTTGCACAGCTCCAGCACATGAGGCTTTTGGCAGTTTCTCAGTTGCTCAGCCTCTTTTACTTTGCTAGCACCCTGGTTTCATTTTCACAGAAAGAAAAGGGCATGAAACAATTTTAAAACCTGCTTTTTTAGTCTCATTTTTCTGTTACCATCTTGTTAAATTTGACAGCAAACCATTTTCATACATTAAAGGCACTTGAAAATGCTCTACAGATTTGGAGGAATGGGTAAGGCTGAAGAAAATAGGACCGGACACACCTTTCACTTAGAATGGTAAATGTTGGGAGCAGCTCCGGTGACGTCAACCAGAGTCGGAGAATCAGGTCCATGGAGTGACACAGTCCATTATCTGCCAGGAGACCAACTAACCCAACCACTCAGCTGGAGAATATCCAAGTCACTTATTCAAATGCCAAACTTTAACTTACACGTAGTCATGCTGTATGCTCGCACTAATTGCCTGATTAGTCTTTTCTATTATCCAATGAGCCTTTGAGGTAGAAAAACTTTTCTTTAATATCTGAGATCCATCATCTTTAATAGCAAATTGGTTAGAGCTCAATACACTTATTAGAATTTAGAAAGAGAACTGGAGAGAAGACAATAATGGAAGAGTTTAGCAGGCCCTGAATTAGGGAGCTAAATATTACTTTGTGGATTTATCTTCCAGCTTTTTTATAAAGAAAAAAAAAAAGATAGAAAAGAGTTAGAGAGAGAAACAAAACTCAGTGGAAGCACCTGAGAGCTTCCTGTTAGTGAGAATCATTTACAGAGTAACGGTCCCCTTAGGGCCACACTGTGATTTGTTTGCTGTACATGTACCCCCTAGGATCCTTTGTAAATGAAAATGACAGAGTGATTGGCACATCTGAGTATATCCAGTGTAATATTTGGGATTTTTATAACCTCCTATTTGATGGGCATTAAAGGATTTCAGATGACACTGAGCTATTTGATGTGTATCTAAATCTGCATATCATCATATTGCAATAGCATCTAGGGTCCTTGATTATTTTGGGGTCCATTGTACCCCATATTGTACTAACATAAAATAAATGACATCCTGTACCCCAGATCGCTTACAACAGATCTGCAAAAGAGAAAAGCCACCAAAAATACCTCACAGAAAAACTGCTTACTAGCAAAGCATTCAAGAGATCCCCCCAATTATTTCAAATGCCTGTGATTGATCAAGTGTCTGTATCTGACCAGCGTACAATATATTTAAGTCCAAAATAGCTTTTCTGCATGTTCGACTAGGGGGTTCTGCTGTCATGGCACCCTTTTCATGCTCTTGTAGCAAGCAGTGTGAGTGAGCATTGAGATGGAAAAACTCTCCCTGGATGGCACAACTACCTAGATGGGATGTGTGTCTGAAAACATTCTCTTATGCCACGTTTTTAGAAGATTGTATTTCATATGATTCCAACTGCATTTAGTTTACAGCATCCTCCTGTTTCATAGCTCTTCAAAACATAACTGTTTACAAAGATAGTGATAGAGGAAGATGCATCATTTTGCCATTTGAACCATTATCAAACAACTGTGTGATGAGCCTTCTTCTTGAAGCTTGTCTCAATCTCACTAATAAGTGCTTCAAAAATGTATTACTAACCTCTGTCATTAGAATGAGACAAAGCCAAAACGTTTGATCATATGAGATCAATCCTTTTTTATCAGACTAAATGTACTCTCCCCAGTATCATAGCTGATCCCCTTATATAATTGTCATTTGCCTTGCTGCATTGCCAGCGCATTTTCATTTGAACACTAATTCCTCTTCACTTTGTGGTGTGAACATTGGTATTATTGTGTACTGTTAAAAGGCTGACACATTCTACCCCAGGGGTAGTTGTATTTCACTAGTAGGACAAGTGATTCCAGGTTCTCAGCAAAAGTTTCAGACATCTTATAGCTAAATTTAAAAGGATTTGTTAAAAGTTTTGAAGCATTCATTTTTAAAGGCTACAATTTTAATTTATTCTTCCCAGCTAGGGGCTGAATTGTCAAAGGCAAAGCTGTTCTCACAGCAGTTTCATCTGGAGATGGACATAACCTCAAAGCTCATGGGAAATCCTGTTCACATAAGTATACCAGCCTGGTTTTGCAGCCCCAGAGTTCAGAGAAGTTCACACACCTTTGGAAACATATCTGAACCAAACCAGAGTTAAAAAAATCATTGAGGGTTACCCAACACCTATAATATTGATGCATGTTTCTACTATACATTCAGATTAGAATTATATCTTTTTTTTTTTGTCTGAGCCAAGGGCCCCATATTACATCTTGAGGCTTTATTGAGAAGCAATTCCCCATTTCTAGGGACAAACACAGGAAATGGTGTATTGGTTTGGAGCAGCAATCCAAGTATCACATCCTCAGCAGAGGCCAACACCAGACACTGAAAAGGAAAATGCAAGAAACCCTTTCCATAGGGAAAGTTTAATTCTAGTACCCATTAGTTAGAAATTGGCTAATGCCTCAAAACACCTGGATTTATAGTAATGTAG